ACAAAGAATCTTAAAAGGGAAAATGAAACAACTGCACTGACTTCCACGACTCAAGCTCAGAAAATGCTGACAGCTGGGCACAAAGAACAGCACAAGAAAATAATTTTACTTTTAAAAGTACAACAGTGAAAACAGGAGCCAGGTATTTATCAAGAAAATATGAGACCCCATTCTTTACCCTGTTACCCAAAGGCAGAAAGTCAGCAAGAATCAAGTCCCCTTCTTTTAGGTAGTTTTATCCGTTTGAGCAAGACACAACAGACAGTGTGTTGGGATATACCTTTCACACACTTCCCTCCTCCATATTGAGCTGCTATTCATAATTAACCATACATGTGCATGTTGCTATGGCATAAGGACTTCACAAAATTTGACCAGACAATCCTTAAGGTCACTTTCCCAGGCAGCTTTGTTTAAGAAAAAAAAAGGAAGATTATCTCAGAATTCCTCCAACCTTTAAAGCCTGAGGGCTCTGAATCAAAGGTCTGGCACAAGCATGCTGCTGTAAGAAAAAGCTAAGATTGAGATACCAAGCAACCCCATCATCACCCTGGGACATTACAGAGGTGGGATCTTGACTTTCCTCCCCTGAGGGACCACAGCAGAGCCGAATAGCCTTTCTCAAATCCTCTTCCACTCCCGGGAATTTAATGGGATACAGCCTGCATGTCAGGCATCCCAATAGTATCTGTGGAAGGCAGGACCTGTCCCACCCCACAGCCTCAACCCAGGCGAGTTTCTCCACAGAGCCCTGTGCAAAGGGGTGCTGGCGGCAGGCTGGCAGATGGCCCAGCAGAGCTCTATTGTCATCAGACCCCGGAAGGACGCCACAGAGGGGCTCACAGGCAAGAGGGATGCCGAAATCACGACCTAGGAGATCTCTTCCACAGCTGGGTCCTTCAGGCCCTGGGCCATGCAGCTCTAGTCGTCTCATCTACCCTGCATCTACCTGCCGTAAATCAGCAAGCTCCAGGACAGACAGCACCTGGATTTCAGCTCCTCCCGAGCGCTGCAGCACCTGCGGTGCCCCGCG